TTCTTCCTTCTTCTAATGTTGAGAGTTTCCTCCTCTCTTGTTTTGTCCATTTCTTCACTTCAAAGTAAATCGCTACTTTGGTTTTTGCCTTCTTTAACCTTGGGTGAGTGTTTGATCATATTTCGCTCCACATTTTGTTCAATCTTCCACTTGGGTGTAAATTGCCAGTTGAATTCTTGCTACTTCTAGTGTTGAGAGCTTCCTCCTCTATTGTTTTGTCAATTTCTTCACTTCGAAGTAAATCGCTATTTTGGTTTTTGCCTTCAGCAACCTTGGGTAAGTGTTTGAACATTTTTCTCTCCACATTTTGTTCAATCTTCCACTTGACCTTGGGTAATCTTCCAGTTGACCTTGGGTAAGTGTTTGAACATTTTTATCTCCACATTTTGTTCAATCTTCCACTTGGGTGTAAATCGATACTTTGAACCTGACTCCCTCAAGTGGTGTGAGCCTCCTCCCCTCTTGTTTTGTCAATTTCTTCACTTCATAGTAAATTGCAACTTTGGTTTTTGCCTTCACTTGTCGCATGCAAGTGTTTTTGTCTTAGTACCACTCTTGCATTTCGTCAATCTTCCACTTGGTGACAAACCACTTCACTCTTGAGTGCCTTCATTGATCATATGCATGTGCCTTGTCAAGATTCATTCATACAATTTGTCAATTATTCCACTTGGTGATGTTCCGCTTCACTCTTGGACGCTTCACAAATGGTTTGTCTTATCTCGCTCGTGCAATTTGTCAATTCTTCAATTGATGATATTCCGCCTCACTACTGGATGTTCCTCCATATCACATGTATGTGGTAAGATTGTGCGTTTGCAACACATCGTCCCTCTGTGCTCCATTTGAACGCCCTGTGCTCTATTTGCTCTATTTGAACACCATTTCTCTGCTCCCCGTAACAAGCGTCGCGGGTCCTGTCCCCTACGAGTCTAGGTTTTGTTTTGCCTATCCCCCCCTCGTGTTTTATTTGAATCTCCTTGACCCAACTCTAGACTAGCCAAAACCATGCTTCCCCTAGTCAAAGAGTCGACAGTGCAATCGGAAAAAATAGGATACTACGACTGCTATTGTTGCTAATGAAGATGAAGATGAAACTGCTGCTGCTGCTGTTGCCAACCCAAGCATTCAGCCGTCGCTGCTGCTGAGAACCGTTGTTCGGTCCCCGACCAAAAGCCGGTCCGAAAATGGCCAACTAACCGGAGAGACCTGGGGTGCCAAAAACCAACCCCTTCAAAAGAAGGGATATGGGGGCTGAGACTTGGCAGGCCCCATGTCCCACTCATTGGTAGATGGCCTGCAAAATCCCCAGGCCATCTCAATCCATTTTCCCACAAAATCGAAAAATAGACTTCGTCGAACTCTTCGCTTAGAGCCTCGGGTGACGCCCCTAAAAGGCAAGTAGGGGCAAACAACAACAGAATAAGGCCCAATTTTAGGAAGGTCATCTATAGGGTATACTCACAGGGCCTGTGAAGTAACGAGACTATCTGGTGTCATTTATGTCAGCAAACACAAATCTGAGTTCTTCGGCGCCCCCTCACTTAGTAAAATTGGCAAAAATGAAAATCTAAGAAATCCGAGTTTTTCGGTGATCAGAGTTTTTGCAAAATCTGAGTTTCTGCTACAAGTCTCAATTTCGCAAATCGCAGTTTTCTGAGGGATCAGGCGTTGGGACAACACGACAAGGACAACAACGAAAACTTAAAAAGTGCCATAGTCAAACACCCCACGTCTTCTTCCTCCCCCACCTCGTTCACACATCATCAATGCCAGCCACCTCACACCCTCTTCCTCCTCCACCTCCATCACCCATCCACCATAGCCAACCACCTCACATCTTCTTCAACTCCACCTCCATCACCCATCCACCATAGCCAACCACCTCACACCTTTTTCCTCCACCTTCATCACCCATCCACCATAGCCAACCACCTCATACCTTCTTCATCCTCCAACTCCTTCATCCATCCACCATAGCCAACCCGCTCAAAACTTTTTCATCCTCCACCTCCTTCACCCAACCACCTCACACATTCTTCCTCCTCCCCCATCCACCATAGCCAACCACCTCACAACTTATTCCTCCTCCCCCTCTGTCCCTATCCAACATAGCCAACCACATCACACCTTCTTCATCCTCCACCTCGACCCATCCACCATAGCCAACCACCTTACGCCTTCTTCCTCCTCCACCTCCATCACCCATCGACCGTAGCCAACCACCTCACAACTTCTTCCTCCTCCACCTCCATCACCCATCCACCATAGCCAACCACATCCCACCTTCTTCATCCTCCACCTCCATCACCCATCCACCATAGCCAACCACCTCACACCTTTATCCTCCTCCACCTCCTTCACCCATCCACCAAAGCCAACCAACTAAGACCTTCTTCCTCCTCCAACTCCATCACCCATCCACCATAGCCAACCACATCACACGTTCTTCATCCTCCACCTCCACCCATCCACCATAGCCAACCACCTCACACCTTCTTCATCCTCCACCTCCATCACCCATCCACCACAGCCAACCACCTCACACATTCTTTATCCTCCGCTGCCTTCACCAATCCACCATAGCCAACCACCTTACACCTTCATCCTCCTCCACCTCCATCACCCATCCACCATAGCCAACCACCTCACACCGTCTTCATCCTCCACCTCCTTCACCCATCCACCATAGCTAACCACCTCACACCTTCATCCTCCACCACCATCACCCATCGACCATAGCCAGCCACCTCACACCTTCTTCCTCCTGCACCTCCTTCACCCATCCACCAAAGACAACCAACTCACACCTTCTTCCTCCTCCACCTCCACCTCACACCTTTATCATTCGCCTCCTTCACCAATCCACCATAGCCAACCACCTCACACCTTTCTCCTCCACCTCCATCACCCATCCACTAACCATAGCCAACCACCTCACACCGTCTTCATCCTCCACCTCCTTCACCCATCCACCATAGCTAACCACCTCACACCTTCTTCATCCTCCACCTCCATCACCCATCCACCATAGCCAACCACCTCACACCTTCTTCCTCCTCCACCTCCTTCACCCATCCACCAAAGACGACCAACTCACACCTTCTCCCTCCTCCACCTCCATCACCCATCCACCATAGCCAACCACCTCACGCCTTCTTCATCCTCCACCTCCATCCATCCACCACATCCACCACATCCTCCACCTCGTTCACCCATCCGCCATAGCCAACTACCTCACACCTACTTCCTCCTCCCCCTCCGTCACCCATCCACCATAACCAACTACCGCACACCTTCTTCAAACTCCACCCCCATCACCCATCCACCATAGCCAACCACCTCACACCTTCATCCTCCTCCAACTCCTTCACCTCCTTCACCCATCCACCAAAGCCAACCAACTCACACCTTCTTCCTCCTCCGACTCCATCACCCATCCGCCATAGCCAACCACATCACACCTTCTTCATCCTCCACCTCCACTCATCCACCATAGCCAACCACCTCACACCTTCTTCATCCTCCACCTCCATCACCCATCCACCACAGCCAACCACCTCACACCTTCTTTATCCTCTGCCTCCTTCACCAATCCACCATAGCCAACCACCTCACACCTTCTTCATCCTCCACCTCCACCCATCCACCATAGCCAAGCACCTCATGCCTTCTTCCTCCACCTCCTTCACCCATCCGCCAATGCCAACCAACTCACACCTTCTTCCTCCTTCCTCATTCACCATAGCCAACCACCTCACACCTTCCTTCTCCAACTCCGTCACCTCCATCCACCATAGCCAACCACCTCACTCCATCATCATCCTCCACCTCCTTCACCCATGCACCATAATCGACCACCTTACACCTTCTTCCTCCTCCCCCCCGGTCACCCACCCACCATAGCCAACCACCTCACACCTTCTTCATCCTCCACCTCCATCACCCATCCATCATAGCCAACCACCTCACACCTTCTTCATCCTCCACCTCCTTCACCCACCCACCATAGCCAACCACCTCACACCTTCTCCCCCTTCGTCACCCATCCACCATAGCCAACCACCTCACACCTTCTTCATCCTCCACCTCCTTCACCAATCTACCATAGTCAACCACCTCACACCTTCTTCCTCCTCCACCTCCATCACCCATCCACAATAGCTAACCACGTCACACCTTCGTCCTCTACCTTCTTCCGCCATTCACCATAGCCAACCACCTCACACCTTACTCCCCCTCCACCTCCATCACTAATCCACCATAGCCAACCACCTTAGGCCTTCTTCCTCCTCCACCTGCATCACCCATCCACCATAGCCAACCACGTCACACCTTCTTCCTCCGCCACCTCCTTCACCAATCTACCATAGCCAACCACCTCACACCTTCTTCATCCTCCACTTCCATCACCAATCCACCATAGCCAACCACATCACACCGTCTTCATCCTCCACCTCTTTCGCCCATCCACCATAGCCAACCACCTCGCACCTTCTTCCTCCTGCCCCTCCGTCACCCATCCAGCATAGCCAACCACCTCACACCTGCTTCATCCTGCACCTCCATCACCCATCCACCATAGCCAACCGCCTGACACCTTTTTCATCCTCCACCTCCTTCATCCATCCACCATAGCCAACCACCTCACACCTTCTTTCTCCTCCCCCTCCGTCACCGATCCACCATAGCTAACGACCTCGCACCATCTTCATCCTCCACATCCATCCCCATCCACCATAGCCAACCACCTCACACGTTCTTCATCCTCCACGTCCTTCACCCATCCACCATAGCCAACCACCTCACACCTTCGTCGCCCTCCACCTTTGTCACCCATCCACCATAGCCAACCACCTTACACCTTATTTATCCTCTGCCTCCTTCACCAATCCACCATAGCCAACCACCTCACACCTTCGTCGTCGGCAACCGGCGAACCCTATGGAAGACTTCATCAGATCCAATGGATCCGGGTTTCAAAAGACTCTTCTATGTAAGATATGCTGATGATTTTGTTATTATCATAACAGCAGGATCCAGAGCAGATGCTGTCGAGATCAAAAGGTTGGTGACTCAATTCTTATMTGAAGAGCTTAAACTGGAGCTTAATCAGCAGGTGCGAAGCACAAAAAGTCATAATGGGATATCTCTCCTAAGTACCCAAATTCATGCCGTGAAATGGAAGGCACAAAATCAAGTCTCTTGGGTTAGGCGCGAAGCGCACGRAAAAGTATACCGAAGAAGGATACACCCGAGACTCATTCTCCGCCGAGCCCCTATCAAGGAGCTTGTAGAACGACTTAAGAAGTATGGATTTGTAAGGCGCACTTACAAAGGTTATATACTTCCTATGCCAATAAGAATTATGATCTCGATGGACCACGCAGATATACTTGCATTTTACAATGCAAAAACCCGTGGCATTTTCAAGTATCACTACCAAAAACCACAATTCCTACACTCTCATTTTCTAGATTCAGTGCCATTCCTTTAACACCACTGGAAAATTCGACCATTTCTCCAGCTTGAATCACAACCACCTCACACCTTCTCCGACCTCCACCTCCTTCACCCATCCACCATAGCCAACCACCTCACGCCTTCTTCCTCCTCCCCCTTCGTCACCCATCCACCATAGCCAACCACCGCACACCTTCTCCATCCTCCGCCTCCACCACCAATCCACCATAGCCAACCACCTCATACCTTCTTCCTCCTCCACCTCCATCACCCATCCAACATAGCCAACCACCTCACACCTTCTTTGTCGTCCACCTCCTTCACCTGTTCACGATAGCCAACCACCTCACACCTTCTTCCCCTTCCACCTCTATCACCCATCCACCATAGCCGACCACCTTACGACTTCTTCCTCCTCCACCTCCATCACCCATCCACCATAGCCAACCACCTCACACCTTCTTCCTCCACCTCCATCACCCATCGTCCATAGCCAACCTCCTCGGACCTTCTTCTTCCTCCACCTTTATCACCCATCCACCATAGCCAACCACCTGACACCTTTCTCCTCCTCCACTTCCCCCAATCATCCTCCATAGCCAACCACCTCACACCTTTCCTCTTCCCCCACCTCATTTACTGACCGACGCCATGTTCAAAGGAACATGGGAATGTGAAACATAGAAGGGGTCTTAGTGAGGGTGGTAGGGCAAGAAGGTGATAAACTTTGATTAGACTTAGGTAGTCTCTCTCTTTCTCTCTCGCCTTCTCTCTCTCTCTCTCTCTCTCTCTCTCTCTCTCTCTCTCTCTCTCTCTCTCTCTCTCTTTCTCTCTCATTTCACCGACTCCTTTTCATCTACTCCTCCCATGCTCTAAAGTCTAATCTTAACCCTCCTCTCCTTTTTCCTCCTGGCATGAGACTAAACCTTCCCCACTCTCTCTCTCTCTCTCTCTCTCTCTCTCTCTCTCTCTCTCTCTCTCTTATTTAACCGACTCCTTCTCATCTACTCCTCCCATGCTCTAAAGTCCAATCTTAACCCTCCTCTTCTTTTTCCTTTTGGCATGCGACTAAACCTTCCCCACTCACTTGTCACCTTGCCAGGGGATGAATGGTGAAAGAGCTTTGGCCTCACTTGGTGGAAAGAGAGGGCAAGGGGAGGGTTGTCGGTCCCTTGTACCACCAAGATGGAAAAGTGTTTTGGGGATTGGAAAGATTGAAGAGCTCAAAGGACTCGAGAATTTGTAAGGACTTGAGGATTGACAAGTTCCGAGGCTTGAAAAGTTTGCTGAGTGACAGAAAGGTCAGTGGACTCGGCCAACAACCCAACTGCATGTGAAATAGAAGAGGATGGTTTGGGCAATAGAAAGGAATGGAGAAGGAAGGAACCAAGGGACAAAGAAAAAAAGCATGCGGGAGGGATTATGTGTTGACCCCGAACGGGGGTTGTGCTTGTCTATATTGCATTGAGTGTGCAGGTGAGTAATCTTAGGATACCTTCAGTTGGATAGCGCCCGAAGAGGCCGGGCGGCAAAAAGGGACAAAAGCTGAATCGGTTGTGAATGTACCCCTCCCCCATGAACGAGTCTATTGAGCATATTGTCCCGCTTGTCGAAGGAAATGCGGTTTGAACGATTGAAACCCTGTGAAAGCAACGGGTGGCCAAGAGGGTCACCAAGTCACATGAGAGTGTGGGCGGGGCCCCGAAAAGACTAAGGGGTGCAAGACATGATGTATGATGCATGAGATAGATGAAGTATGCACATAGATCGGCTAGAGGATGAAGCAAAGGGCGTCCTAATGAGGCGATAGGTGCCGACGCGGCTTAGTCCACGGGCCTAAGTCGAGGGGCGTCCAGCTACCTCGATGAAGTCGTTAGACCCAACAATTAGTGAATGGATGTGTGGTCCAAAGAGAACGCTTGGCCTACGCATGACGGAAGATGAACCTTCAAAGAATCCCTGAACTGCATTAGTATTGAAAGGAGCAATTGCCTAAGGATCAACAAGATTACCCATCTAGCGCGATAGCTGAGGTACATCCCCAATGTCGGAGCGCTCATTTGGCCCACCCCCATCCATCTCAAAGCACTAGGTGGGGGTGACCCTGTGACGAATGGCTTTGTGCCCTGAGCATGAGCGTGGGCGGAGCCGAGCCAACTGGGACCCGCTGAGGGTTGACTCAGGCTCGAAAGTCTAACAGGGTGGGGCCCTACAACTATCTCCCTGAAAACATCATCAGTGATTGTGATCCTCGCTTCCTTTCCCAATTCAGGAAAAACTTGTTCAAAGCCTACGGCACCACTCTCAAGTACAACATTGCATTTCGTCCCCAGACCGACGGCTAGAAAAGATGAACGATACTCTCCAAAGGATCCTGTGGAAGTATTGTCATCCACACCAGCACGAATGGGATCAGTTGCTCACCGCCGCCAATGTCGTCTTACCTTTCGCTGGCATGTTCCCATGCTACCTTGACCTTGGCTACCATCCTCGCTTGCCCTTAGACTTCTTGCTTCCGTTGCAACTCAAACCATCCACTTCCTGTCCTTCTCTCAATGAATAGGTTGCAACAATGAACCTCTTCCTAAGAGAAGCCACTGACGCCCTTGAAAGAACCCAACAACAACAAGCCAACAAGACCAACAAGCACAGACGAGATATCACATTCAAAGTAGGGAACAAAGTCTGGCTCTCCGCCAAACGCTTTGAACCTGAACATGGCTTGTCCAAGAAACTCTCAAACAAGTCGTTCAGTCCATTCCCCGTCATTGAACAAACATCCCCTGTAAATTCCAAACTTCAACTACCCCCTGACATGAGTCGTGTTCACCCTGTCTTCCATGTCGAGTACTTGAAAGAATACCATGAATCACCTCCACAATTTGCCGACCGGTCGTATCCTAGACCTCCACCAATCATGCTACCTACTGGGCCAGAATTCATGGTAGAATCTATCATAGGACGAAGAACAACTCAAGTATCCGATCACTCGGAACTAATCACTGAATACAAAGTCAAATGGACAGGATACCCAAATGAAGAATCTACATGGGAACCCCTCGATAATTTGAAGAACGCCATGAAACTTGTTCATGCTTATGATCGTGCTCACCCTGTATACTACACATAACACCCATATACCTTGCATTAACCCTGCCTCATTGCTCTACATACACCCCCTGCACCCAGCAAAACCCCTGCCCCTCGACCTCTCTCTGTTTGAACCACTCTTGCCTCTGTCTCGTTCCCCAATCTGTCCTCTGCCACATCCTCTCTCTCTTGTCCAAGCCTTACTTGTGGCTCCTGCGCATCGCGGGCAATAAAGGATCTACTGGCAAGCGCTCGAGGACGATGGCTTGCTGCAGCGCAGTTCGAGGAGATTAAGAAGCTGGTTGGCTACCATGCTGTTCCATTGGCCAACACCTTGACTCACAGACTTCCGGAGCAGCACTCTTGACATGGACAACAGGATTAGTCAGCGACCTGCTATCCGAATCAGACTTCATCATCAGGATCGTGTATCAAACGCACCTTGGCACTTGGACCTTCATCTCTTGGACTGCTACACTACTTCTTTCAAGCTGGAACCCTCGCTACTACACGTCGCGAGCCTGCCGAAGACTGATTTATCGCCAGCACTCTCTCTATCCATACCAGACCTTATCCAAGACTCTCATCCAGACCTTTTTGCAGAACCTGCGATTTCCCCACCAACCCCATTCACTTCAAGATCCTCAGAAACCTTTAACCCAAACACTGAAAAACAATTTTCCTTTCTTTATTTCTGCTCACGAAACCCATTCGCCCAATGTAACCCTATAGGTCATCAGTAGGACAACCTTGTTCGCCTGCAATTCCCAACTCTATAGTTCATCATTAGGACAACCTTGTTCCCCCGCAGTTCATTAACCCTGCAGTTCGTTAGTAGGCAAACTCTGTTCCCTCGCAGTTCACAGCACCGTAGTCCATCAGTAAGCATACCCCATAGCTCATCAATAGGAAAACCTTGTTTCCCCCAACCATTGCCACCCACATTATACCTCTCTCCCTTTTTCTCCCTACTTCCCAATGATCGCCCCCGTCCCGTCTTTCACATGATTCACAATTATTTTCATGACTTTTGGCAGCCAGGACGTTGCCTCCTAGAGGGAGGGGATAGTGTTACGGACTCCGCCAAGGCTCGATCCCTGGTCTGCAGATTACCATCCACCAGCTTGCTGTATTTATTTTCTTTATTTTTGTTTTTGCAATTTTTTTGTTTTGTTTTACTTTGTTTTTGCTTTTCCGATTTCGGGCAGTGGGCGCCATCGGCATTCTGGCGCCCGTTTTCAAATTCCTTCTTTTTGGATTCTTGGCGCCATCCGGCATTCTGGCGCCCACTCCCAAACTTCCGATTTTCAGTTCTGGCCCTCGGGACCGTACTTGAGTCTAGTAATTAAGTACGGACTGTACGACACCAAGTCTCCAGCCTCAATGTTTGTGTTCAGTGCGACTTCACTTCGACATTGTGTTCGGGAATTCAAAACTGCGACTTTGCGACTTTTGCCACTTTGTGTCTACGTCCGTCAACTCGCGTCGAGTTTGCGTCGAGTGAGTGTGTGTGTGTGCTCTCACTCTCCCTCTCTCTCCTAGCCTCGCTGCTCTGCCTCTGCCTCGTCACAACTATTTTGTGCTGTGACTCCAAGAATGCTGCGAGGAGTTGAAGGAGATTTGTGAGCTTTGAGCAGCTGATGAACTGCAGTTGACCTGAAAAAAAACAATGCATTGTCTCTTTGTGGCCTCTCTCCTCACATTGTTGATTTGACCACAATGTACACCAACCTCCCTCATGACCGCGTTCTGAATAATGTGGCAAAAGTTGTTGATGAAGCACATGCTTATCCCCTTCAGCATACTCGCATGCAATCGTGCTGCTGTGCTATGAACATGGTTATTTGAGGACCTCGTTGTGCCCAATGGACAACTGATTCAGGCCCAAACACCCTTTCGTTTCTCAAATTCTCCAACATCTTTGCTTTGTGAATATATTTAATCTGGTAAAGAATTTCAATGTGACCCTGAGGCAAAAGTTGTTCAATTTATTTTTCTGCATAACATAGTTTTTTTTTTTTTTTTGGCGTTCAGGTTCGGCCACGGGGGGGAAGAGGGGAGAGAGAGAGAGAGAGAGAGAGAGAGAATGTTTCTCAATCTGTGGAAATGCAGTTGGCCAGCAAGCCAGCCAGCGAGCCGGCCTGTGCAGCAGTCGGCGGGCCGACCAAAGAGCACCATTCCCAGCTAACCTTTTTTCCGATTGAAAAATATATAAAAATTGGACCATTTCCAGC